TCTGTCCGATTTTTCATTTTAATTAGAGTAAATACTTATTATATATTATCATTGGTGTATAGTATTATGATGGAAAGGAAGCTGATCGTCAAAGCGCAGTCATTAAGGCACGTCAGGCACGATGTAGTGTAAATATTTTGTGAATAAAAATATGAGTACGTACTTTTACATTTTCATCTAAAGTTATTTTTGAAGTGAACTTTTTTAGGCGCGTTGGGCATTTTTGAACAACGATCAAAAGAATGTAGTTTTTGAGATGGGAGACAAAAATTTATTTTCGTTAAAGGTTACACAATTGTTGTGTATATGGATACAAACCATGCAATGATTCCTTAAAAGCATTACCTGCACAATTTGCTAGCATAAACGCTGTGGTCAAAGTTATAGTGGTTCTGAAGTTTCTTCTAAAGTGGGGCAACTGGTTTTCCATGTCTTCAATTGTTTTTAATAGCAATGGCCAGTTATAAGTGTTCTTCGCTACGATCAGCGCTGCTGCTAAATTGGAACCGTAGAAGAAAAAATGGGCTGGAAACATTAATATTAACCATAACCAACCATTGCACCTTACAATTTTGGGGAGAGCACTCATGGTGGCAACGATATTCACTTACCATCAGATGATCCACGTGTTCGTTTGCCACTATGTAAAATAAATTATTAGGTTTTACTTAAAGCATTTTAATGCATTATGTAACTACCTATTTTTCGAGATTTTAACATAATTAGAAGAATGCGATCAGTTAGCACATACGGGGTTTTCGATAAGGGTTTCCAGAAGAAGGTTTAATTATTTTATTTTAACCTAATAGGTACAGTTACAGACAACAGATCATGTCTCACACAATAACAAGTTACAACGTACAATTTCAAATATGAAGTCCAATAATTAAAACTATACACAACGTTCACAATCACGGTATTAGAGCTTCAGTTAGGTGTTAAACAAATGCAAAAAAGAAAAATTAAAAAGGATAATGAGATACAATCAATGGACCAAGATACTATCATTTTACAATTAAGTCTTGATAAATTTATATGCAAAAATCATTTCATTGCATTAGTACTATGATTAAAAATATTAACTTGAGAATATAGGTATTTCGTAACGTCTACTCATTCCCGAAACTGTATTGTGACGTAATACACTGTTGTTGCTATCTGGTATAGTAAACATTTGTGGTGTGCGCACAGACTTATAATTTTAAAATTTCAAGTACATTTCTAATAATCACTTTTGTTATTCGTTTTAAAAAAGCCAGTGAACCAGCTGTTGTGTTAGTTGAGTCTGAACTACTAGATAGCTTTCTAAAATGTAAGTTTTAACGTTCGTCCGAACCCGGTCCGGTTGCAAGTATGAAACCTAACCAAAATTACTTCTCAAAATATAATTGCAGACTCTTTGGTCCTATTTAAATTTAATGTAAACGATAGTTGGTAAAATGAGACTAAGTCGCAGAACAAAGTTATCCATACCAAAATAAAACTTACAAAAGTAAATGAGCTGTGCTCCCTTGCTGAATATTTGATATACAGAGGAGAGGCACATCAGTATTTGTCCAAACATGCTGAACGCGTAATAAATAGTGTACGGTGACCGAAGAGTGTACCTGAAATATATTATTGTTTTTAGTACCTACCTTTTTAATAATAATAATACTTTATTCATCACTTTGATTTACAGTTTTCTCTTATTTTATATGGTAATACAAATTTAATAAAAAAATACATTCTCAATTAAATATTATACTATACATACGTGTGGTGACGGATTAAGAATACAGAGTGTCACCAACCCTGTTCATCCCGTGGGTGTCGTAAGAGCCGACTAAGGGAAAAAACTACGCAGAACAACAGCACTGCAGAGAATAGGAAAACTTGACACAAAACTTATACCAACCCGTCTGGCTAGCGTGGTATAGTAGGCCAACACCTCCTTTCTAAGGAGAGGCTTATGTCCAGCAGTAGACTATTAAACGCTGTTGATGTGTGCTGATGATGTGACTGTACATTTAAAAAGTAAACTAAAGATAACTGTACCTTTCTGGCTTAACGTAATGTCGTCACACCTCCAACGCTTTAGTCGCTGCCGCCGGGCATTCAGTGACATTTTTAGAATATAATCATATTCTCGTAATCATTTCAAACAAAATTACGATGTAGTTAACTCGCATTAAACTTCGTGTCTAAGCATGTTTGAATATGAATTTTCAAAATACTTTTAACTTTAAGTTAATCTAAATTAAATTAATAGTAAAAGAACTTCTTGGTCAAAAAGATTACTGTTCTTTTGAAAAGTTTATCATTTAAAAATAACTATTATTTGCTAAGAAAAAATATTGGAATTTTCTTTCATGTACATTCTGAAAGAAAATTGCAATAAGTTTTCATAGTTGAGTAAGACTGCAGTAATTCGAAGAAGCCGGGATGGTGACGGAGAGAGACTTTAATTGGACATATGTAATAAATATAAGTATTATGCTTAGACACATTCAGCACTCTTACCTTAATTTGTCACTAGACTGATTGGTCAAACCTGTTACAGGTAGAAATCCCATAATTCGACTACATAAGAGAGCTCCTCTTGTAGTCATATAAAAATTGCCTGGCTTTTTTTTGAGACGAAATTGTCTCCCGCGTGCATTAGATCTCGAAAACAACATTGTATATTGTTCTAATGATTTTTCTAATGAAGCTTTGACCATCATACAAACAGAACTGCTACTGAAAATATTTATGTATTCTTCAAACCACCTTCCTGTACTATACAGGAAACATAGTAACAGTTTGTTATTAGTAGTCAATCAAAACATAATAGTGTTTCTACGAAAATAGAACAAAATAAATATCCAGAGATTTGATTTGAAACAACGAACATTGTGACACGTCAGTGTTTTGGCTGTCATGTGGCATTAATTAATGTAAACATATTATTTATAACGGCCTATTCAGTAGCGAAAGGATTCCATAATTTATTATGTTTTGAGTTTGAACGCTGTCTTATATACAAATATACTTTATAAGTATATGCATTAGTAATTATAATATTGTTATACATATAGCTCTGTTAAACTCTTTCATTTTTTTCTTTTCTTTAAAAGACAACGCTCGCATTAGGAGTATATCCTGTGTCGCGGGGGACTTTACAAATATACATGAAACGGACACAAAGAACAACCAGACTCAGAACAACAATTTGTGGCGACCGCTTAAACCACTACGCCATCCGTGCAGTCTCTGCGGGTTAAAATACCATTGGTGACACTTTTAGACTTAGTTTCATAAATGCACTATAAAAATAAATCATACTGTGAATAGATAAAAAAAGTAAAGAGAAACAATCCACTAGAGTATTCATAAGCCTTTAATGTCATATTTCACAGTTCTAGTGAATGGCAGTTACTTGTTGCGTTGTTATGAGCATTATTTTCAGCTGCAATTTAAAAAACTGCCGATAAGTTTTTAAACTCTTATTGCTTTAAGTACTTTTTATTGATATGAGATGCAGTCAAGAATGGACCTCCATAATCGACACCAGTAAAAACGAAGGTTTTAAATTCACTTGCCGGAAAATGATGAAACTCTCCCATCGCGGGTAACATTTTTGACTAATTTGTTTTAAAACAAATGTTACAACTTTGAATGGTTTTGTGGCCCAAAGTTCTAGATGAAAGAATCTTATAGCTCTGTTGCAGTAAAGCTAAGAGTAGTCACAGGCGTGCTTCTACATTTACTAAATGAAATTGATCAACATCCTTCGAACACCGTGATCTTTAACAAGCAAGAAAATGGGATGCCTTTGCGTAGAACTTAATTGAGTGGGCCTAAACCGACCACCGACACGGATTATTTTTCAGTCATTAACGGTAGAAATACACACTGCACATTGCTAAAATAACCTCTTTATTGACATTTTACATGAGTAAATATATGAATTATTGTAAAAAAATACAAGTAATTTGGTTCAAAAACTTGTTCGTTAAACTTTTAGTTTTACATATTAGTATCATTCTTAATTTGAAATGATTCTAGTGGGTAATTATTTTTTAATTTTATTATATTTATATTGGACCATTGACCGGATATCGTATAAGATTCAAATCACTCGAGATAATTTAAGAAAATACTTGTAGAATTTCAAAGCTCTCCAATGTAAAATTTCTATTTGTAATTCATATAATTTTCAAAATAAGTAATAAAACATTTAAAGTGTTTAGCTTGCAACTAATATTCTACGACTTGATTTCGCATATTATACATTTGTATACAAACCAATTAACCATTGGCAGTTCTCAAGAAATATCTGTATTTAATGTGAATACCGTACCATTGCATAGGATTAACGAGATGAAAATGAAACAACATATCGGTATTATTTTTTTTTTTATTTTAATTAATATTAATATTTACGGACATCTGACACACAACACCATCTAGTTTCAAACTAAACAGAGCTTGCACTTTGAAAGCTAGATTGACTGATAGAATATTTTAATAATTTTTTTTGTATTTTTATTTATGGAATAGGGGGCAAACGAGCAGACGGGTCACATGATGGAAAGCGACTAGGAGTACGCTCTTTCTTTGAAGGTTTGAGGGTCATATCGATCCGGAAATACCGCAGAAAGGACCGCAAAAAGTGGCTTGAAAAGCGCACAGTGGTGGGGCGCCAATTATTCAAGTGGTGGGGATGAAAATAGAAAACACCCAAACTCCGAAATGAATATTTGCAGATCATGCAAACATTTGGTCTGACCCGGGAATTGAACCGGAGATCTCAGCACAGCAGTCGCATACGCTACCACTGTACCACCGAGGCAGTCGGTAATGTTCTGTTTTGTGCTTAGTATATTTGACCTATGAATACAACAAAAATAAACACAAAACAGCTTAAAACCAAGTGAATTGAATTGTGGGCAACGTAGAATATACTCTTGTATCCGCCAAAGGTCACACATTATCAGATAGAAGTTCTTCTAAATATTGTGTCGAAGTTTATAAATTCACATTTGAAACAACACTAACTCATAGGTGATCAGTGTTCCTATGATCTGAAAAGAATTACTACATATAAATATTTTAATTATTAAAATTAGTGCGTATTAAATTCCTCAAATTATGAGCTTGAGGGATAATTTTTGAAAAGGAATCTCATGTTTACTTTAGTGTAAAGTATAAATTCGGTTAAAAAAAGGGCAGTTTATAGATTTAGGAGTAAGGTCACTAGAGTCTAGATTTGATTGGCAAAATCTGTTTGGCGTACAGAACACATTTCCAAGTTGATTGTCAGTGAAGTTACAAAATACATAATAGTTTTTCCTACTTGCCAAAATTCTCGTTAGCAAAATAATAAATTATTAATTTAACGTATTACGACACCGCCACCAGAATGGAACGGCATTTTTTTTTTGTTAGTCTTTTTTAACTCCCGCATTAGGAATATATCCTGTGTCGCGGGGGACTTTACAAACATACATGAAACGGACACAAAGAACACCCAGACTCAGAACAACAATTTATGGATCACACAAAGTGTCGTCCCATGTGGGGATCGGACCCACTACACTCGGCGTAGTAGTAAGCGGCGTGGCGACCGCTTAAACCACTACGCCATCCGTGCAGTTATCCTTTATAATCGTTATATAACAGATCAATAAGACCTACTTTAAAAAGGAAGTTACGATAAACGACACTATTTTTCACAAAATTTTCTTAAGCGACAACAAATCTATTGAGTCATCAAAATAAAATACTTGTCGATACTCACTGCTAATGTCAAATTACGAGTTACAGCAAAAAAGTTATAGCCAGTCAAAGATATCTTTGAATAATATACTTGAGTCATTAATCTTTGCATCTGAAATAAAAATGTGCTATGAAAATTGTTAATAAATAATATTTGAATACTGTTTTATAGCTCTGCTGAAAAGGCATCCCAAGGTGTCAATAAAAAAAAAGTTATCGTGAATTGCATTTATAATTATTAAAGATAAAACATTTTTCTTTATTATAAACTTACGCCTATCTGTCTTATACTAACCTATCTAGAAAATGAAATGGTTGTAAATAATTAAAGCCATGAATGGGAGAACATTACTGAGACACAAATGGGGAATTGATTCCACGGCCTCTGAAACTGGTGTTAAACTATTCGATTACGGAAGTCTCGGTATCTGGGACTAAGACGCGCTTTGCCCATTCTGTGAGTATCTATCACTCTCTCTTCTCCTATCATTATCCGTATTTCCAACTCCTCCAAATTTATTTCTGATAAATATCGTTGCGGGTTCCTACATAGTTTAACTATTCCTGAGACTTCCCGAGTGTCATTACTCGATGTGTTCGTAGGACTGCTGTTGATCTTGGTATACAGGAGTTACAGTAGTGGGCATATGGAAGGGATTAGTCTCCTATGACGCCACTAGGCTAGAGACATTTTTTTAAAGGTCTACTAGCAACCGAAATTACTAGTGTTCCCTTTAACCCCTCCCGCTAAGCTAATACCGCCGCGGCGAATTTACATTTACTAATTTATTAACTTACATTAACATTACATTACATTAAATTATTTATTTAAAAATAATAAATTAAGTAAAATCATAAATCCATACTTAAAAATGTGAAAGTGAGTTTGTTTGTTTGTTTGTTACGCTTTTACGTCTAAACCTATTTTAAAAATTATATCACCAACCGAAAGCGACATTATCAGCAAGTTATTTAGGCTCCTTTTCACCCCGACATAGTATATATGAAAGTATATATGAAATTAATGTGTAGTAATCTTTGTGTAAAATACCACTTTAAATTAATGAACTTACGTCAATGTTAAACGCCGAAGATGGAAAAGTATGCAGTGCGTTTAAAGGTTCCCGACTTGCTGAATTAAGTTTTGAAGCAAAATATGATATTAGACCCGTTCTAATAATCACAAAGATGCAGGGAACAATGTAATAGGTGATTGTACTAGGGCTATAGCTGTGAATAGAGAAAGATGAACTGTAAATACTCCTAAATAACATTTATTTTACAATACAAAATCATGATCGTAATTATCATCTATTACTTTGTCTAATCTTTTTTTTTGAATTGGTGTCTTTGCAAAAGGTTTTGGCTGACGCTGTCGGTTTTTTTTTCAATTTGGAATAATTTCTATCGTTACGTACGTCAAAACCCTTATGGGATCACTTTGTTGTCCGTCCGTAAGTCTGTCAAGCCCCTTTATCTCCGGAACGCGTGGAGTATCGAGTTGAAATTAAAGAGGTTTACGGTCACTTGAAGCGGTAAAGTAATCAAACTCCTAAGTTAACATAAAAATACACTCTGAAGGGAATCAAAATTCATAGGGTACTTCCCCTTGAAATTTTGTAACTAATATTATATTATACTACAAGTATAGGGCAAAGTCTGAAGACTATACATTTGTAAATAAATCATAGAAAATCTAGTCTGTATTTAAAGTACTTAATTAATCATCGAAGTACAATTTCTGTTATAAAACTCAAGAATATAAAAAAATATAGGTTTTTGAAACTGAATTTCTTACAAAGCTTCAAAAAACTGCGAGGTTCAGTTCCTGAACTATTTATAATACGTACCTAAAACTGTGTACGGAACCATCGGTGAGCGAGTCCCACTCGCACTTGTACGAACTTTTTTTTTGATAACTACAATAATTTATCCCAAACCAATATTGGTTGAGAGCATGTTTATATTCCAACTACGCAAATGTAAATTTGTATGAGATTTATAAGGCAATTTGAAGTAAATGGACTTTCTTGGGTTTCCCTGTTCATCTATGAGTTAAGAAATATTTCTGTTTTATTTTTTATTTTAGGCTTACTAGTTTTGAAGATTAGGGAGGAGGCAGAATGTAGGTTATTTTCATTGCTTTAATAACTTTTTACTATTTACTCATATCTAGGTACAACAATGAACCAACCAACAATAACAACAAACAATGTAGGTAGGTAGGTATTTGGATACCCAAAAGTGACCTTCATGTTAAAATTTTATTCATTTGCACATTTGTTTGGTTCACATGAATTGTTATGTGTATTAATATAAACTTATTCGGCCCCGTTGATTCAAAGCAATTGGGCTGTAACGGACAGAAGGACGCACGAGTGATCCCATAAGGGTTCCTTAAGTTAAAAGCCACTCGGATTTGCCTTAAAGTTTTAAAGCTAGATAAAACTGCGATGTGGTTGTACTACAATCGGAGTACTGTATTTTTATGACTGAAAATGGAAGGCAAGGAACTAAATTAAAACAATTTTGAACACATACCTTATCAACGTACAATGGATACTTCTCGCTAATAAATCAGTGTTTTGTATCATTCTGAAAGCGTAAAAATACCAAGTAAGAGTTTTTAAATAAGTCATTGTCTTCCCTCATTAATTTACAATCAAAATATGATTAACGGACTTACTTGATAATATGAAATATTTGTTTAAATATAAAGAGAAGATTGCAAAAGTATGACAGCAAAACCATTGGACTTATACTCTCATCTACAAGTGCCACAATGCGAGATATTTGTGTGTAATGAACCTGAAGTGTTGACCAGCTTGCAACTCCTCGTGATAGCTCCTGGAAGAATATGAGAGCATAAAAATAAAACTATACATTCTAATTATCATTGTGGAGTAGAAATGATTAGCATAGCAATAACCTTTACTATCCATTAATTAACATATGTCATAACGAAAATTCAAACTGCATGTGTATGTTTTGGACACACCGTGTTATGAATTAAGCCTTAATCCCAAAAGCACAGTGGAAAAACCGCAGTAAATAGTAATATATAAAAATAATATTGTACCGCCTTCACAATTTTTTTTGTACATACATTTTATAATTTTTTTTTTGGAAATACATACATATTATAAATAGAAACACCCAGACCAAATCAAACATTAAATGTTCATGCACACAAATGTTTGACTTGAACGGGAATGGAACCCGCGACCCTATGAATAGCAGTCCGTTACACAAACCACTATGCCATCCGGACGTCATATATATATATATATATAAGTATAAATAAATATAAGTAATCATAAGCAATTCTTGATAACCTTTCGTTTTTATAAGTTTAGTTTTACCCACACCGATTTACGCATCGTTGTCTTTAACTATTAACAAATTATATAAAAATATTTGTAAAGGAGCTAGGAACTCCCGGCAATAGCAAGATCGAACAGATATTAGGCCCAGACCTGCCCGAGTTGTTGTCGTCCTGAACTCGTCCATCCATCTGACTGAACTATACTTGTGTTTATTTAACATATTACAAAGCAGCATTTACAATTATTTATTATAAAAGTACATTTGAAAACCACTGAGGTTTGCCTATAAAAGTATTTCTTCTGACTTCTTCAAAGTACTTCTTCTATTTCTGTAAAAGTACGTGCAGTATACTTCCAATTTCGTCATCTTTGCTTCCCAAAAGATACGGGTTGACTCTAACAAACTTGCCTTTTAGTAAGTTAGTGGAAAAACTGTGAGTTTTTATTACATCACAGCTTATTCCGTCGATAATATTATCGATACTGATACTCGCACCTATATTAGTGTGAGTAATATAATCTATCAGCTAGGAAAGTACTTACGCTTTGTTGTTTCTGTAAAATGATTTCATTAAAATGTTGAAACTTGCACCAGAGATAGAGGCTTGCAACCATGATTAATGTATCAACAGAATTCCATAGTAAGTGCATTTGTAACCGGAGACACTGTAAGTATTCATATATCACAAAATAAGTTATTCAAATACTCGTAATACATACCTGTTACTATAAGTATTTTAATACATTAAGATTTTAAGCTATTGCATAGTTGCTATCGCGGGCCTTGAGCGTGGAGACCGAATCCAGAAATTCCGTAACGAAAATAACCTAACACACCCCACGTGATACTTTTTAGTTTTGCCATCTATCGATGATCGATTTTTGAAATATCACGCTTGTCTCTTTAGTTCAGCAACTCGCCTGTAGGTGGCATTGGTTGTATCGGCGTTACTGCGCATGCGTAATCCCCCTCTTCGCCCCGCAATCTAATTAATATCAAAGAAAAAAAACAAAGGAAAAAATACTGCATAAATAAAATAAATAAATAATTATAATTGCATAAGTTGATAAAACATGCTATGCAATAGCTTTACCGTGGCATTCCCCAAGTGCCACACGTCTTTTTTTTTGTGTACCTATAATGGTTTAACAAAATGTTGTTTAAAATCACAAGAATAATCTTTAATTATTATTTTTTTAAATGGTGTATTTGTAAACAATACGTCATAATTTTCATATCAATTTTAATTCAATTCAAGTATTCAAGTATCATCCCAATATCGTATAGAACCTAGAGTTTCATTCGTACCAAATCTCCTTTTAGAAGATTAGTTTTAAGTAATTTTTTTAGTTGTCAAGCTTAGTCCAAATTAATTTAATTTCGACGCAAGAATTCTGTATTTTTGAAAAAACGTAAATCCGTTACTTATTAATTTTAAACTAAGAACATATTTTTTTGTAAAAAATTAAAACTAAGATACCTTGTCTGAATATTAAAAAAAAATCTTACCGAAAGTAATAGCACAGAAAGAGTGTGGTACGGCAGAAAACCAATTATCCAACTGAAGAGAGTATTATAAAATGTTTCGAAATCCATATCAGAAGAAGATAAACAGTGTTCTAAAACTTGCCATAAAAATGCACAAGAAATACAGAAGTCAACTGTAAAACAAGGCAGAGTTAAATGAGTTGTTAAGTTTACAACTTAGTTGATTCGACTTTAGTATTTAGTATAAAAATTAAGAACAAATATTTTTTGAGGCGTCCTATTAAATAAAATGTAAGTTTAAATTAAATTGCTGAATTTGTATTGTTATTATACTAGCAATTTCTTGCAGTTTTAAGCGCATTTATAACCGCTGCTTCTAAGAGTTTTATCTTGATGCCAGATAGCATTTAATATTCTTCATGAGTTCTTCATTCTTCAAATGTAAAAATATAAGCTTAGTTATAATCAAGAGAGTGATCGCTAAAAAAACTTAAAATTCACTTTATAGTAAATAGGTATTAGTATATATATTTACAAGGAGATTAATATATATACTAATACCTATCTATCTACTATAAAACCTATGCCTATGTCCAGCAGTGGACTATTAGAGGCTGTTGATCTGATATATATTAGAAATTGGTTTGAAGATTTAAGGCAATATTTACTTTGAAGTCATTTTCTTTTGCTTCATCGTTACATAAAGCTAAAAAAAGACATGCAAACATAGGCATTTTAATAGGTTGGTGATTTTATCACAGGTACAGATATAACTAAAGGAATAATAATTATAAAATACATAGGAATTTATATTCTGGTTATCTATAATTAAATTTATTAATTAATAAGTTAAATTTTTAATCAATGTAAAAAAAACTATTTAGTATTGTCTTATAACTGTTAGAACTCTAGTATGTTAATCTAAAAAAGAAGCTTAGGAGAAGAGAAGAAATTCATCGAAAGTCCCTTTCGGAGTGATACACATTAGACATTCAATGAAAAGTTACTCACCTGCTGCTGATGTAAAAATGATCGTAACCAAGTATGGAACACAAGTCATAAATCTCTGATGGTTCTTAAACGGCAATAACTTTTCTAAGGACTCGATTTGGTTTATTAGAATTTCCCACCTTAAGCTAAATCGCATCATATACAATAACTCAATGTAATGGAATATAGTAACTAATATATTTCCTAAAACAAAATAATTAATTATATTTGAGATTAAAACACTGATGACGATCCATGATTTCAATACAAAATATAACGAAAAATGCTTTAAACTGTATTTGTAATTTAAAAAAAATATTTTTCAGTTTCTTCTCATAAGGCTCAAACTCTTGGAAACGAGTGGTTGTGGATCAGCACAGACATTTAACACGCATGATTAGATTCATTTTATTAAATATTTGAGAAAACAGATTGTTGCTCTTGTGTGCGTTAGTCTATAGCTATGATTATATGATTTCGAATAGATTTTTAATGAAATAATGATATTTTGAATTTGAATTAAAACGATCAGGTATTTGGCTAAATATCTAAAAAAACAATTTTGAACTACTTTTATTACTTTTGGCGTCAATGACCCTTCCAAAGAAACTGATAGTAAAAAAAAACACTGAAAATAATATAATAACTCTTCAACAGACTTTACTACAAACAGCTTCAAAGGGATTTAAACGACAAAAACATCGTTTTGTAATATCATCTTTGTTCAATCATAGCATGGATAAATCACACATTTTATATATTGTAAAGTATCTTCTTCTATTAAGTAAACATGGATGTGCGTATTCAATGATACTTACTGGATTTTAAAAATAAAGTTACCTGCATTTTCACTCATTTTTTCTCTCATTTAAACGGCTACATTTTGCCAATTATAGTCTCGTAGTAACCTATACTCCAGTATATAGAAAAAAAGGAAGAACATGGAAAAAAATGGAAGAGTGAGCAATTATAGAAAAGGACTAATAAAACTGGATGGACTGGAGATTGAAATTGATAGCCCGAATAGGACAGGGTCTGACAATTTTAACTCGAATACTCGTATAAAGTCTGAGTCACAAAGTCACATACAGTTAAAAACGTCTTACCGAACTTTTCGATGCTTTCAATACGGCTTGTCATTAGGAATATCTCATATGTTATAAATATACATCTTAAAGATTGCAACACAATGATTGCCAAATAAATTGTTGTATACCACGTCTTCAGAGTACCCCTGGAACCATAATATAATAATAATAATATATTTCGGACATCTTACACACAACGCCATCTGAGTAGTTTCAAACTAAGCAGAGCTTGTATTATGAAAGCTAGATTGACTGATAGAATACTTTTATAACTTTTTTTCCTAAATACATACATATTTTACATAGAAAGTACCGAAACTCCGAAACAAATATTTGCAGATCATATAAACATTTGGTCCTACCCGAGAATCGAACCTGAAACCTTAGCACAGCAGTTGCATACACTACCACTGCATTACCGAGGCAGCAAAATATATTAGCCTTTTACATTTTACAGCTACAAGGAGTGACTCGACTAGATTCGATAGAAAAAAAAATACAGACGAATTGAGAACCTCCTCTTTTGTGTTTTGGAAGTCGGTTAAAAAAGAAAGAAAAATGTTTCTTGTAAAGTTACACAATTACATTGAACATAACGGCCCGGATGGCGTAGTGGTTTGTGTAACGAACTGCTATGCTAAAGGTTGCGGGTTTGATTCCCGTTTAAGTCAAACATTTGTTTGCATGATTTTGTCTGGGTGCTCTATGTATAATATGTATGTATTTACAAATAAAAGGTTATATGTATTTATATCATTTGTCTAGTACCGTAGTACAAACTCTACTTAGTTTGGAACTAGATGCAGTTGTGTGAACGTGGTAGAATATTATAAATTATCAATATCTATAAAAGAAGAAACTGAAATTCTGATTCTATGACTGATCGATCAAGACACAGCTGAAACCGCTGGGTCTAGAAGCATAAAATTTTGCACAAATGTTCCTAAGCGAAGTCGGTGTGCAATAAAAAAGATTTTTTTTTAAATGCCACCACTATGGGTGCAAAATGGGTGCATATGAAACTTCATAATTTTTAGTAGTAGTGTCAGTACAATAAATACTCTATTAAAAGTAATAAAAAACGTTTCAACAAAATTTTGAAAACTATTCTTAAAGAGTTTCTATGAGGTACAATTTTTTTTAGCTTATCGTTTCCAAAGTTTTAGTATAATTACTACGGTTTAGTCTATGTTTAACCCCCCCAATCTTTACCCCCAGTCCATGTTGAACCCCTAAATGTTGTCCATGTTCAACCCCTCAGGGGTCGAACATGAATATTTACATTTTAATGTTTTTGATCCACGTTCAAACCTCGATATCTGATGTCGATCACCACGCGGATGAAACAAAAAGCTAGCTATATTATATAATTATTCATTTCTATTACCATTGTGTGTCGTAACTGTGGCAGAGACACACTTAGCATGTCTCTGAGTTAAGGCAAACCTGAATTGAATGAATACAATAGTGCCTAAACAACTTAATTCATTAAATTACAAGCAATCATACTTAGGTACACACTATACAGAAATAGATAAATGTGGTCATTAAATATAAAACTAATAAGTATATCTTTCTTTCTTTCCTTTTTTTTAAAAGACCACTCCTGCAGTAATATATCCTGTATTGTGGGGGACTTTACAAACATGGAAACGGACACTAAGAACACCCAGACTCTTTGTAATTTGTAATAGACAATTTGTAAATCACACAAAGTGTTGTCCCATGCTATCAATTCGGGAAGGACCTGAAATAATATGGTCCCTCCCTGAGGCCGGCCGTCGGGGTGGTTTTTGTTTACAAGGAGATAAATTAAATAATACTTTATTACCTTGTAGAGTTACTGCTTCTGCTTCTTAAACCGCTTATAGGTAAAATCCCCAAGCATCGGAATACAAAAAGAATCGGTCTAACAAAATCATAAAAATAATATTTATTTTCAACTTCTGTTTTTTTTGGTTTTACAAGCCGAACACCTTTTAACGACATCTTAATCACTCTAGAAAAAAAGGTAATCGGTTTTACAGTTTGTCCGGTGGAAGCAGGCC